AGTCAACTAAAATTTGTTGCTTTAAGTTCTGCGCAGTCGGTGCACAGTGGTTCCCAAAGCTGCAAAGCTTTGATTTTTCAACCGATCTACAATTATAAAAAATAAACGAATTTTTTGCCACTTGAAACATGCACTTTACTATAGTAAAATTGAATGTGCTATAAAATCGCACACCTAAAATTGTTCTAAAAATTCTCAAAAAAAAAAAAAATTGGAATCTCTGGAGAAATTTTATATGCTTTAAACTATAACTTTTGCAATTTTTTTCATTTTGGAGAAACCTTATAATTGTTTTCAACTTGCTTTTATTATGCAAAATTTATTTACAAGAGCGGGAGAAACGATTGCCTTCAAAATTGCTGCTCTCTCTGTACATTGCGCGCAAAAATTTTATTATATATGTAAGTATAGACAAATAAAAATTCAAAAATCGGGCTCGACAAATTTCTTATAAATTCTAATATTAGCTTTCATTAAAAAAAAAAATTTATCATATTCGTTTCAAAATGAATTTTGAACACTATATTCCAGATCGGCACCACTGTGCGACATCGCCCACGGCCTGATAATAATGCAGCGACATACTTTAGCATTTTTAAAATCAGCGGGCTTTATTTTATATAAAAAATCAATTGTGTTAGGTCACAAAATTTTTAAACTTTATTGCATAGTGCGGCTTGAGGGATTGCGAAAAGTTGTTTTTTTAACGAAAATAGAACTAATTGGTTGATTCACTACAAAACGCACACAAATATAATACTCTTTAAATGGGGCAACAACAGCAAAAGTGCAATTTCAAACAATAATAACAACAAAAGCAACAACGTTTTTATACCAAAATTAAAATTGGCAAAAGAAATTAAGAAACAAAAAAAAAATACAAAAATAAAAGTACATAATTTGAAATCTATAACATATATATAATAAATATAATCTAAAATGTACTTAGCACTAATGTGAATGTATTTATATATTAACATACATATGCATATAATGTATGTATGTATGTACATATGTATGCATATGTGCTTTATTGTAAAAAAGTAGTCATTATTTAATATTAATGCAATGTATTGTGTACTTAAATGTAGCTATTAATTTTAGTATGATTAAGGAGCACATTTAGTTATTTGATTGTGTAAACTATCGTTTTGTCGGATATTTGCAATCGGTTTATTGCTTTAAAAAGCTACACAGGTAATTATCGCGTGTATGGACAGCTAGTTAGTTAGTTTGTGCTTGGCTGTAAGAGAACAAGAGACACTGCTTTAAAATGGCTCTCCTGAACTCTTCGGAGCCTATAGGAATAAAAGATGTGTTGTGATGAATGCTGGGTACAATAGATCCATGCCTCTTATCATATCCCAATTATCTATTTACATAAATATTAGGTTTGTCCTTAAAAATATGAAAATCTAAGTTTTGCATAGGACACCCACTAATTTTGTTGTAGTATGTAGATTTTCAGCTGAACTATCTACACTGTCCGACAAAAATAAACTTTTTGTTACACCCATGAAAAAATCGAGCATTTTCGGAAAGTAGGGACTAAAAACAGTATCCGTATTTCGCCATTTCTACGGGGAAAACCACCCTTAACAACCCCTATGCTGAATAGGTCAATAGAAGATTGCCTTGTAATTGTTTAAACTTTATTAAACTTCGTATATAAAGGGCGTGTGGGATTGCCGATTACGAATCTGAAACTCAAAATGAAATGATGAATTGAAAACTCAAAATGGCGCATCCAATAAAAAAAAGTTCGGATTTTTTTGAAATTTGTTGTCCGGAAATTCTTTGAGTCGTTGATTACAAAAATGAATACAGTTTTACGAAATTCAAAATGACATATTCAATATGGCGGATGGATAAAAAAAATAGCAGATTTTTATGAAATTGACATCCAAAGATTCTGTGAGTCGCTCATTACAAAACTGAAAGCAATTCTCAAAAATAAAAAATGGCGAAAGGATTTTTAAAAATATTTCAGATTGTTATCAAATTTGATATCCAAAGTTTCATTAAGTCGCTGATTAGAAAACTGGAATCAATTTTTAAAAATTCAAAATGGCAAATAGAACATGGTGGAAGGAATTTTAAAAAATTTTCAGATTTTTATGAAATTTGATTTTTATGAAATTTGACACTTTTTTTTACAAAGCCATCCACCATATTGGATCCACAGTTTTGAATTTAGAAAACTGACTTCGGATTTGTAATCATTACACAAAAATTACAAGGCGCAGCAAAATACTGTACTGTACGGTACGATTTTTTGTGCTACTTTCCAAAAATGCTTAATGTTTTGATGGGTGTCATCAATGCTACACAAATTGGTTAAGAATTTCGTTTAAAAAGTCTTTAAATGTTTGAGCTGATAACGTTAAAAAAACAGTGCATCATATGTATGTACATAGTATGTACATATGTATGTATGCAGGTACTAGATCGATTGAAGTCTCTCAAAATCATAGAGCTACATGCTGTGTTTGCATATTCGAAGTTATAAATTTATACTACGAGCATATTTTGAAGACGATGAGTGATAACAATAAACAGGGCTTCTTACTTATCTGCAGTTCATTAATTTTTTTTAACTAGACAGCAACCTCCCCTAACGCATTCCCTCCAAACTAAACGAATGTTGCACACAAACTACAACCGATATTCCAGCGCGCGTTTAAAAAAAATTTTCCATTGCATACTTGTGCACATAAAAGCAAAATGAGCTTCCCAAAACACTTTCCAAAGATTTAAACAACTAATTTCTGTTTAGTAATATTTAAGTAAGTTAGAAATAAATATGTATGAAGAATAAAGCGATTTATTTACGTGCGTATAAGAAATCGTAGCGGCCGCCATAGTCGAGGGGTTAGAGGTAGTGCGCACCTACCAGGCGTTAGGACCAACGTTCGATCGCTTGTTTGAGCAACATTCAAACCTGATTTTTTCGGCAGGCAATGGCCAACCATGAAAAAGCTTTGCCGTTCAGAGGCGGCAAAAAACTGTTGGTCCTTCACACCTTTATAAGACAACATCAAGGGGCAGCACACCACAAGGCGGAGGAGAAGCTCGGCTAAGCAGTAAGCACCAAAAATTTTTTTTTTTTAACAAATTTGTGAACTTACAATTAGTTTAAATATTAACTATGTAAACTTACATGTGAGTT